GGGAAGAAACTTGTGATTCTTGTGTGACACATTGCTGATGACCATGAAGGGGCATTGCCATAAAACTGTGTAACAGTGGTCAAGCCCCTCCCCCTGAAGGAAAAACTTGAGCAATCTCAGACAATGCAATTCAACTTAGTTGGAAATACAGACATAAAGAACAATAGAAGTTTAATTCATTTTCTACTTTTATCTATCCTTAAAAATTAAGTTGATACAGTACAATGTCTAGTGATTTGCCCAAGTCATTGGAAACACACAATATTTTGTCTCACGTGTTGTCTGAAACAACAGATTCATCAGACATCTTAGTTTACATTGAATGTCTGTGGAGAACAGAGGCTGTGCCAACTTGTGTCCTTTTTGTCTGAATCATGGACAGTGAATGCGTTAATGTTCGCAAGTTTAATTATTTTCTTTTAGTGCAGTTTCTTCATCAATGCTTTGTTGTGAATTATATTTTCATGCTGCTTTTTCAAAAGATATGCATCTGTTTTTCAACATCTGTTATTCCCTTCTGTATACTAAGTCTGGAAGATAGTACCCCATTATAAATGTACTGTATTATACAAAAGTGTAATAGTTAAGATGCTACCATAATCTTTCATTGACAAGACCTATTGCCAAAGTCCAACCAATGCCTGTTATGTAGGGTTCAATCTTATTGCTTTTATTTTTTCTCTGTGTTATATACAATATATCGGTGACAAAAATTAATATTGGGCTACAGATAATACTGTTCAAGTACACTATATTGATGGACATATCTCTGCCATTTAAATGGTATGTTTTCTGTTAATTTTCTTTACTGTCAAAAAGGGAAAAAAATCCTTATATGAGCTTAGACTATAATTTGACTATTATTTGTATATTTAAAAAAGAAATGCATGACTACTTTGTTAAATGTTGAAGAGAGGGATGCTTAACTTTGCATAAAATATTTGTATAATTATTTAATAAGCCATTGTGGACAAACATGAACACCGTGAAAAAAACGATAGTAATATATTTTCTTTACTAAGCAGCAATGTTCTTGGTGGGCATTTTAGCTCGGTAAATGGATTGATGGCTCAGATAGCACCCCTGCAATCCACCAGCGGTTTGGCTTCCTTCACTGCAAACGAGACAGTCTGTAGCTCCACATTTCTCCCTTTGGATTTAGTGATCCAGGAGTTAATTCCTATAGCTACAGATGGCTCAGGGAGCATAATCCTCTTTGATATCAATCCAATTCCATCTTCTGCACGTATGGACTCATTCAGATGAGAATTAGCCTAATTGAATGATTAGCGTTACTTTTCTGTGTACACTGAATGATGCACAAAACTGACCTACCAGAGCGTGTTTGTAGGAGGTAAAATTCCTGCTAGAAACAGAGATACCAAATGCGTTGGCTGCTGTTTGCTTTTACCTGCATGGAGAACTGAGCTTTACAAGGCTGTCTCTCTTACTTGCTGTCTAAAACTGAGCATCTGGGGAGGGAGAAAAAGCAAATCTTAGTCTGGCCTGGATTTGTGTACATCAGCCAAATACAAAGAAGGAGGAGGCAGGGGATGAGGGACTCTGGGATAAAGCCAGAATGCTTTTCTCTGTGCTAAGGTAAGTGATGCACTTTTGAAATGAAAGAGAGAATAGAAAAGATGTCATGTATCCTGTTGTGGGAGTCTGATTCAGCAACAAATGGGCAGGGAAAACTGCTTGATTTCCCTTGTAAAATAATAATAAAAAAATTGTATAAAGTAAAATTATCTTATAAAATTAATTACAGAAAAGTTGTGCTTCAAAACAGTTTTTATATTTTTATCTGACAAAACAGTAATGAAATCTTGTTTTGTTATGATAACTTAATATGATGGTGAACATCAGTTACTTTAAAATGATTTCAGGATTTACAATTCAAACAGCAAATGTAATGATAATCAGTTGTTTTTCAGAATTTGTTTTCAAAAATAAAAAGGCAGTTATCTGAGAGGAAATATCAACATAGGTAAAAGAAGAATGGAAACAACTTATATAAAACCAGAGTCAACAGATCTATCTTGAGTTAAGATATGATGCAGGACATGTTAAGAGCTTCTCTGTCTTTGCCAGTAACTGGTTCTAGAGTTAGGGTGTAACAGCTGAAACAGGTTTGCCTAAATATAACTCTGTTACAGAAGGTTTGGGTGTCAGTTGTGGCAACAGAACACAGAAGATCAGCTGATCTGAAAGGTTATTAGAATTAAGGTTTCATAAAAAGCTTAGAAGAACAGACTCCAGTGTGATTCAACACCTGGTGGCAGCCAGTATGATTGAGCTAGGCGAGGAGTAATGCAATTATGCTAATATAACAGCATTCTTCCAGTAGTATTTCTTGAGTTCCAGCCTGTTGATGGAGTGAAATATAAACACTTTAATTACAGTATTGCACTACTTCCTGGAGGAAGAAACAAAACATAGAATTTTGGCAATATGAGAAAGAGAGGTAGATCTAAACAAATCTATTTCTTCTACAGTAGCGCTAATGCTTTATGGATTGTAAAGATAAAAAAATAAATCCTAAAATATATTTTCAGGTATTCAAAAAGCATACATTCAATATGTTTCTTTAATGCAGATATAGGCCAGGAATGGCTCTTTGGCTTTGATTCTCTCCTCTGGATGTGTTATTGCTAATCTGCAGGATTCCAAAAAACCTTGAAGTGGTTGTTAAGTCTACATCCCTGTAACAGGATTAGCTAGCGGACAAAGATGCTTCCTATTTTAGATGCCCTGTGTTGGCAAGCAGAATAACCCTACAGTGCAGACTTTTAAGTATTTTCTCCTAATAAGAGAATGCTATAGTAATGAAAGCAGGAAGTGAGTTCTGGAGTTCAAGATTCATCATGAGATTTATATATACTGTATTATTACTTAAGAAAGGAAAGAAAAATGTAGAGTATACCTTTCAGACTCTAATAATTTACACAAAGAATCCTATTCTACATGCTGATAAAAAATGTTGAATAGCAGTGGGAGAGATGCTTTCACTTTCTGAATTCCAGCTAGGAGTACTCAGTTAATATGTCAAGTTAAATTAACTTGATGGATACCATCAACAAATTTGGAAATGGATGGATTTGTAACCTGCAATTCAGACAGGCATGTGTTAATTATTTTTAGTGGGGATACTCAGCTGCTTTTACCATTTACATGATCAATAAATTATCATGGATTGGAAATAAAAGGTAAATACAAGACACAATATCAGAAACTGAGTATACCAGCTCTGTGTTATCAACAGTTTGAAAAAGCAAACAGGGCTGGTCTAAGGAAGTTTGGGGTTTGAATAAGTAGTTGTACAGAATGAATGAAAGGGATGGCCAATGAATTTGACACTTCAACAGATATTCATTTTTCTCTCCATGTCAAGGGTGGTAGAATGGTACAGTGGTTAGCATTGCTCTCTTGCAGTGCTGGGTCCTGGGGTTCAGTTCCTGGGATGTGCTCTGTGTGGAGTGTGTACGTTTTCTTTACATCCGTATAGATGTGCTTTGGTTGCTCTGGTTTTCTCCCACAGTTCAATTGTCAATTGACTTCTTAGAAAATTGGCATCAGTGGGTGGATATTTCTGTCCGCCCTGCAATGGGCTGTCATTCCAACCAGTGTGTATCCTGCCTTGCATCTGCTGCTTGCTGTGATAGGCCCCGGCTCCTCAACAACCCTGTAATGGTTAAAGCTGTTAAAAATGGAAGGATGGATTTTAATGTGTCATTAGTTGAATTCTTTGGTAGATAAATATCAAAGTCTAAAGAAGGTCATCAATGCTTGAAGTATATAACTAATTAACATGGGAAGGTTCTCAAGGATTCCTTAGTTACTGGCCATTGAGAATCATAGAGGTTTCCAGTTTTCATCACATACAGTATGTGCTCTTAGCTTCTTAATTGAACAAATTATTTGATTGATCAATTGACTGTTTCTTCAGTCAACAACTTAGGTATTAAAGATCACTAGCAAACCAGAGTATCTGTAAATGTCCAGGGCTGAGCATGGCCATCTATGATCTTCAGATTACAGGTGTCCAAGTTCTGGTCCTGAAAACCCATGATATCTTTTGGGTTTAGTCCCAGTGGAGCTGTGATCAGTTGTTTAAATGGAAAAAAGGTAGTATTTTCTAGATCTTTGTTCACTGAACAAAGACCTTCTGTTTTAGAGGATGGCTCTTCTGATGTGCAGTCTTCATTTATCTTTTCTGCCTTAGTGACTCTCTTCTCTATATGGACTTTTGGTGTTTTAGGCCTCTGGCATTTTACATACAGTATACCTGTAAGAGGGGACCAACGTCACCCATCACCTCTGTGACATCAGCTGTATCAGTCAGCTGTGTCAGTCAGCCTGTGCCAGTAACTCCTCTACTTAGCAGATCAAGGGGAGAAGTGAGAAATTACAAATGCAGGTAGGCCAGAATGAGCTAGTCCAGTTAGTATTTTAATGATAAAACCCTTACTCTTGTCTCTTACTGTATGTACTGTGCCTGGGAATTCTTAACGGCCAAGTAGTCAGAAACACAGTTCAATGTTTCCCTTGAAGAATAGTGTGTACTGCAGCACAGCGTCTTCTGTTACTATAGAAGAGGAGAAGAGAGTCACCTACGGTATTGTTGACACCACTCATAGCAGCAACCCAATTTTTTGGAAGAGCCATTGAATATCCCAGATTGCAAAGGGCTCATGGGTACACCCTGGAAAGGATGCCAGTCCTTCACAGGGCACATACTGTACAGACACAAACACCCACACTACAGGAACCATTTTTCCTATTTACCTACCAGTGTGTTTTTGGACTGTGGGAGAAAACTGGAGCACCCGGAGGAAACCCACACAAACATGGAGAATATAAGAACTCCAGGCAGATAGCACCCCAGGAATTAAACCAAGGGCTGCTGCTGCAAGGTGGCAATGCTACATTGGCGTGCCACCCCTGACACAGTGAGATAAAGAACTTGTTAAAGTGTGCATTTCACTGATTGTAACTTTCATAATGCTGTAAAACTACCTTATTCAGTCTAAAAAACTTCCCCAGATAACTACTGTGCCAACAAGCCACCCTGTAGTACTATTATGAATTATATACATGGTACATTTAATTTCACAGGTCATTTCTGTACGATATATTAATAATTGCTCTTGGGTTGGGTTATATAAATACATATATTAGTATGGTTAAATCAGGTGTAACAAAACAAAACAAAAAAAAAAACTCCTTGGCTAATTTACTTTGTTGTATATAGTTTTACAATGTTAAAATAGATTTTACCTATAGGTACAAATATTCCCAAGGAGAATAATTATTTTTTTAACAAAATACAATGGCATAGGTGTTTCAGATGATCAGTCACCAAGAAACTACAGTTTTAAACCAAATGTTAGTATTGGTTCACAGAAATAGAGAGCTATTTAAAGACATCTACATTCACCAGATGAATATGTATGAAAACCCATGTACATTAAAAAAGTAGGTGTAAAGGACTTTGATTGTGAATATCCATAAATATCAAGCTTCATTCTGTAACAGTCTCATTCGTTATTGTATACTTGTGTGAGCATGAGACAATCAGACTTATTTGTTTTGGAAAAATGTGCAGAACTTTTGCAAAAAACTTAAATTCCAACCCTCCATAAAAAAACTGATAGGTTTAGACACAGCTTAGAATAAAGTAGTTTCAATGAAGGGCAACACTGTGGGTGGGGGGCAGTTAAGTCTAAGTAACACTAATGCTCACGTGTTGGCTCAGAATCTTGTCCAGAGCTGGTATCTGAGCTGTAGCTCTACTGGCTTATTGAGGTTAACGTTGCTTACAGGATAGACAATACTGACAATAACATTCAGAACATTATGCATACACCGTATTTTACCCTTAGAATGTGCTAACTTTTTCAATCTGGTCATTTCAGCAATTCTAGTTCACAGCCATTTTGTTTAATTTCTGTACATGTGCAACAAGATTGTTTTTTGGAATTTGTTCCATCTTTTTGAAAGAGTAGAAAATGTAGCATGGTAAAAAGTTCTTTCATGCATATGGCCCAGTGAAACATAGTGGTCCCAGAGAGAGAAAAAGTGAGTGGTAACCTCAGCAATACATGAAAGAAGTCACAGTAGAATTCAATGTAGTTTTGTAATACGTTTGCTATGAAAGTGATGAACACCGGTGTTCTCTCCTTTCTTCAGCTATAAAACTCAGACATCTTAAGGTACTTTTTAATACCTTAGACATTGCTTTAACAGTGCTTTGTTGCCATAAATGTCCTCTTGAAAAAAGAAGAAATATTCTGAATGGGTGTCTTTGTAGACATTGAAAATATCACAAAAGTTTGACTGTCAGACATTCTTTAGAGTACCTGGTCAGCCTAAATAAAGACACATCACTACCAGGACTGCACAACACAAGGTGTACTGCCTGCTTTCTTGGACATAAAGAATGTTATGACATCAAGAAAAAAATGAGAAAAGACAGTATAGTATAGCATTTAAAGTCCAAAACTAATCAGCTACACTTCTTGTTGCACTTTGATATATTCTCCAATTACCTGGTCTTTTACAAGCTGCCTGCTTTTTTTATTCTGGGTCGATAATAATCC